TTTTTTTTTTTTTTTTCTCATCGATGAAGACCTAAGGTTGATTCATTAAAAATTAGGAATAATCCTAATATTGGCCCCTCAATTAAGTCATTTATTCTGATAAAACCTTGTACTAACTTTCGTTTCAAATCAGCCCTTGATAGTAACTTTTTATGACATTTTAAGCCCACTTAGACCAAAAGCAACTTCTAACTTTCTCTCTATTTTGATTTTGGGTACATGATTTTGATTGATGAATTATGATATTTTGTCACCAGCTGTGCAATGCATAGAAAGTAAAGAAAAATAATAGTTGCTTGAATAAAAGACACCAAAAGCAGAAAAAGAGGTCACTAAGCACTAGAATCAATACATGTCAACATTTATAGTAGACTAGAAAGCCAATTTGACAGCACATTAGTGGAGAGGAAACTATCATGTGTATTGTTGCTTGACTTTCTCTTAAATTGTGCCTCAAGTGCAACAATTGTGCATTAATTGTCTTATTTTCTTTCACTTTTTTGCAAGTAATTTTAGGCATTCATATTATATAACATATAAATAATAATTTTAATTTTTTACTCATGCATAATTTTTGTTAATTAGGTAATTTCATTTGATAAAAAAATGTTTTCGTTTATCATTTATTTATTATATAAAACAATAATTTTAAGTTGCTTAAAAAATAGTAACAAAAAAAATTGCAACAACCCATTTTGATGAGAGTTGTATCATTTATCCATTTTAGTATATAATTCTAATGTAAATTCAAATTCAAACAAAAATATCATGGAATCCAACCAAAAAATCTTTATATGAGATTTTAGAGTTTCATTAGAACTAATCAAGCACCATAACATGGATGGAGCTTTAGCTATGTTACCAAATTTACATTAAAACTATAAGATCCCCATTAATCATTTACAGAAAACTATCAAAACCCAAAATCCATCCCATTCCCTTTTTTGTTACAACATCCACAACCTTATTGCAAATGTAGAAACCCCTTTATTTCTCTCTCTAAATCAAACTTTGCTCAAGATTGTGTGTAAGCCGCTTATCTTTGTGGCAAATAAGCCTCTCCTACACACAAATACTTGGCCAAAAAGCACTAAATTAACAACTAATAAGGTGTTGTTTTCTAGAGGACATCTCTATGGTTAAAAGATCAAGTCTTTTGTATTGGAAATTTCAAAATTGAATATAGAGATGATTGGCGAAAAGTTTGAAAAGCGAAGGATTATCTCCTGTTGGATTACCTATCATCTGACATATCGAAAAAAAAAAGAAAGAAAGAAAGAAAGAGAAAAGGTGTTAATTTAAGTGGCCTCTGGCAAGACATCTAGAATGCCATGTGCTGTTGCCACAAAATAAGTTAAATGGACGTATGCACCACTTTAGATAAAGTTAAGGGACTAAAAAAATATTGTTTTACATTTTTAAAGAACTTTTATTTATTTTTTTAAAAATTTTTCTCTTTAATCCCAAAGACATAAACCCCTTTCCGCCACCCGTGCTGGACCTCTCTAACATTATAAACTCCACACACTCCAAAACACAATACAGAAGAAGAGTTTCAGAGCATTGTAAGGTCCAATCTTCAATGTTCTATCTCAAGCCATGCATATCTCCGGCTCAGAAACTCAGTCCCCGTCAAACAAAGTGATTTCTCCGGCCGAAACCCAATCCGTTAAATGCGATTCCTGCGGCTTCACTGAGGAATGCACCCCGGCGTACATCCTCCGTGTCCGGGAACGCCACCAGGGCCGTTGGATTTGCGGGCTCTGCATCGAGGCCGTCAAGGATGAGGTGCATAGATCTGACACAGCCATCTCCACCGCAGAAGCCCTGAACCGCCACATCAACTTCTGCGAGGAGTTCAGGACGTCCTTTCCTCCAGCCAAAACAGAGCATCCAATCATTGCCATCAGCAAGGTTCTCCGCCGCAGGCGGAACTCTTTCCAAGTTCACCACTCCAACTCCAGCACCTCATTGCCTACTGTGGAAGGAGTCACAACTCCGACCCTCCTTCGATCTGGAAGTTGTTTCCCAGCTCTATCTAGGTAAATATTAAAACCCAAAAATCAAAAATCAAAAAAATAAAAGAATGGCTTTTCTTATGGTTTAAATCAGATTTATAATCCTATATGGAGTACATAGCTAATAAACAACTATAAGCTTCAAAATTTCTTAGTTTTAGTACTTTTATTATGCTTTTGTTTATTTTATTTTATTTTTTTAATAACATGGTTGTTTAAACCTTTAATCTAATTAATTATAAGGTATCTCTTTATGCATTATTATCAAATTTGATTCCATCTATCTTTGAGTTTCGTAATGCTAGCTGATGGAAAGATTAGACTTTCAGGTGACATGATGAAGGTTCGATTTTTTCTTTATGTTTGTGTGTGTGAATTTTTTGGTGAAAAGTTTAGTTTGCCATTTAAAAGAAATGGAAGAAAGAGGAATCAACGAATATGGCAGTGTTTTTGTTGGCACCGATCAGATAACAGAGAAGGATGGTGACAGAAAATGAAAGTGCAGGGAAGATTCCTAGAAACAAATAAAGACGCAAGAAAGAATATACCAAAAAAAGAGAGTATTTTGTAGTTTGGACTTCCACAAGAGTACCAAAACAAAATATCAGGCATTGCGTTAAAAGAGCTTCTAATATTAAGGAAGAGCCTTTCTGTTTAATAGTTGGTATTTTACAGTTTGGTATATCCAGACTACAAAATACTGGATTCAAGAATATATTACACTGTACGTTGAGTGAGCAGGGGAGCTTCATTGATTATCTGTTGCTGCGAGCCTTTAATGGCTTCTCTTTCTGTTTCCACGGGGAAGTTTCTGGATGAGTGAGGGCCAAAAATTCTGCAGAGTCTGAATTCAGACAACATTATTAAACAAAGAAGGGATATGTGGGACAGAGTCCTTGATACGCATTTCATTTGGTTAGGTTAAGTCCAAGGTTTTCCTGTCATGTTATAGTTGGAACAGCACATGCACATCAGGCCAAATGGCACATGCAATCAGATAAAAAAAAAAGTAGTAGATTTTTAGGGGAAAAATCTGGATTAGGCCAGAGGCCTAGAGTTAGGCTGGCAAAAAATGATTTGGATTGGATTCATCCACCAGGGTAAATACCTTATGGGTTATATAACATTCAAATTCGAACTTAAAATCAATCGATAATTTCTAATATGATGCCGAAACATTCAACCCAACAACCAATTGACAGAGGAGGTGAATCATATTAAAAGGCCAAACTTAAAGAGAGATTTTGAGGACCCTTAAAATCAATGTAATAAAAATGTTTAGGGATGCTACTGAAAAGATTGTTCAAAGGAATATGTAGATTGAAGACATCATGGACCTTGTCCCCCCACAAAAATAGAAAGTAAATAAATATAGTTCAGCCAACAGTAGTCCATTTCCATAATTGAGTGTAGTGCTAAGGACAATAATTGTTTTTGCATATCTGAAGCATGAGATTGCAGATTGATGTAAGAGAGCAAGTGGGATATCATGGATCAAATGGAGTAGGCTTAGAGATGTAAGAGTTTTAATGTTGAGATGTCCAAAATGAGTCTATATAATTATGTTCTTAATGGTTGAGATACTAGGTAAAAACCTCTTACATAATATTCTCATTGCATAACAAATTTCTCCAATTTGATATGAGCTAATTGAGTAGATACTCAGAATGTGAAAATGTGAATCGAATTGGGCTAATGTGTTATGGGTTGTCGATGTGTCGAAGTTGCCATGTCAAAACCAAAACTGAAAACGTGGTTTAAGAGGCTAAGAGCTTAATTGGGAGTGGTTCTTTCACACCTTAAAATGCTTTTATCACTCTAAAATATTATACTTTTACTTCTATATTTAGTATGACACTAACATTTTAAGATATAATAATAATACCACACGATTTTAAGATAATTATATAGTATTTATTATTTGTATTTTTTTTAAGGATAATTAGTTAAAGTTCATTCCTTCTTATTCAAGTAATAGTTGAAGTTATTATAAGCAAAAGGAGTAATATCCTTGCTAATAATCATTTAGATATTATTTTATTAATTAAACAACCATATGATACATAACATTAATGAGATTGATAATCACGTTAAATTTTATGTGTTAACTCTCACTTCCATCATTAATCACTATACAATACAATGTAACGTCCCAATTGGAAATAGTGTTCAAAGAGAATGTTAAAAAGGGTATTAAAGAAAGTGTTGAGAGCGTTGATAACAAATTAAAATCTTCGTTTTACTAGTTTAATTTTTTTTTTTTTTAAACAGATTTTACAATGGGCTGGGTTCAAACCCCAACCTTAAGAGAGGGGAGAATGCACCATGAGTGGCTGTTGCCACTTGGCTCGAAAGGATCGGTTCGTTTTACTAGTTTAATTAAAATGAATAAAAATGATGATAGAAATAACAACATTTTTCGCCATAAATTTCCACCACATCAACTGGGTAACTGAGTGCTTACATCTCTAGTTTGGACTGATTTTTTGAAGTTAAAACAAGAGAGGAAATTGGCAAACAAAAAGCTTTCCTCCTTATTGCCTTAATTTTATGGTTAAACAAAACCGTAACAATGGAAGAAAGCCAAAACGGTAATCGGCCAAGAACAGTTGTTAATCGGTGCGCGCGCACGTGAGCAGAATACGGCAGCTCTGGCATTATGTCTTCCTTATATTCGCAGAATTCTTAAGTTGTAAGGTTCGCGCACCTGAAGCTTCCTCTCTTGTATTTTTTCTCCAGGTACATCTACAATGCTTTTCCACGGTTCAACCCATATCCCATCTACCCTTTCGGAACCCTAAGAGCTCCCCTTTTCTCTGATTGATTTCCAGAATATGGTAGAATCTGGAGGTTTTAAGTCTTATGCTACCAGAAATTCCAAATATGGTTGTGTAGTTCGTTCAGTTTCTGCATTAGTTTTGCTTTTCTTGGTCTATAATCATGTTAATTTCCTGCAAAAAAACCGGGTTCTGCATCCTCAGTGGAACCTGAAAGGGGGTTCAAAATTTGATTACCAGGGGAGGGTTATCCGTAGAAGTATTGTAGAAGTTAAAGGTACTAACTTTACCGTTGATGACTCGGTTAATTTGACGGTGAATGATCCCAAATTCTGTTCGGGATTGTTGGAGCATAAGGGTTACAGAACCAGGTGTGAGTATTTGGTTGCACACCCAGAGTGCACAACAGGAGGGTTTTTCAGTTATGAGAGATTCTTCTATTGTAGTTGCCAGAAATTCAGTTTTTTGGGGTATGTTGTGTTGGGTGTGTGGTTGGTTGCGTTGTTTTATATGCTGGGAAACACTGCTGCGGATTACTTCTGTTGTTCTCTGGAAAAGCTTTCCAATTTATTGAGGATGCCGCCCACGCTTGCGGGGGTCACTTTGCTGCCACTGGGGAGTGGAGCTCCGGATGTGTTTGCGAGTATTGCAGCTTTTGTGGGCAAAAATGCTGGTGAAGTGGGTCTCAATAGTGTATTGGGTGGAGCTGTTTTCGTGACTTGTGTTGTTGTAGGGACAATTTCGCTTTGTGCGGCAGAAAGGGGAGTTCAAGTTGATAGGAAATGCTTTGTTAGGGATGTATCCTTCTTTCTGTTTACTTTGGTATCACTTGCTCTGATTTTGATTGTTGGTGAAGTGTCCATAGCGCATGCAATAGCTTTTGTTTCCATCTATCTGGTGTATGCATTTGTTGTTGCTGCTGATGAGATTTTGAGGAAATATGCTCGGACATTTGCTGCAACTCCGTTGCTTCCTGTTAAGGGAAGTCTGTTTTTGAATGAAAATAGAGAGGGTGACTCAGTCTATGATTCTCTACTTCACTCTGATTCTGAAAGTGATGATGTACCCTGTCTTGAAAGGAAGTTACCTCACTGGATGTGGGCTTCACATATGGCAATTTATTCAAATGAGGCTATGAAGGCCATTCCTGATAGTCCTAGATGGGGTTGGAATGATAAGGAAAGAATTGATAATCGATCTTTCTGGTCTTGTTCTAAAATACTTTCATTGCTGGAGATGCCGCTGATACTTCCCAGGCGATTGACTATTCCTATAGTTGAAGAGGAACGATGGTCCAAGGTGTATGCTGTTGCTAGTTCTACACTGGCACCTATTCTTCTGGCTTTCTTATGGTACGCCAAAGAAGATTCAAGTCCTCTGAGTGGTGAAATTGCATACTTCATTGGTGTTTTCTTGGGTGGTACACTTGGTGTTCTTGTTTATCTATACACAACAGCTGATCATCCACCTCAGAAATTTTTACTAGCTTGGGTTTTGGGAGGATTTTTAATGAGTATTGTCTGGTTTTACATTGTTGCAAATGAGCTTGTTGCTTTGTTGGTGTCTCTAGGTGTAATCCTTGGGATTAATCCATCAGTCCTTGGTCTAACTGTATTGGCATGGGGCAATTCAATGGGCGATTTGATGTCGAATGTTGCACTGACAATGAATGGTGAGGACGGTGTGCAGATTGCCATGTCAGGGTGCTATGCAGGACCAATGTTCAACGTGCTTGCTGGTCTGGGGATCTCAATGCTGCTTGGAGCCTTGTCTAATAGACCATCACCATATTCAGTTCCCAGAGACGATAGCTTGTTTTATACAATAGGATTCCTAACAACAGGACTCCTTTGGTCGCTCATTATATTGCCACGAAATGATATGCGTCCTAGCAAGATGTTGGGGATAGGCCTAATGGTGATCTACTCAATTTTTCTCATCTTTAGGGTGGGCTTATCCATGGGTGTGATATCAGTGATTGGTGCAGATTGAGTTGTCTTGCCCTCTAGTGAAGTGTTCTTAATGATGTCTGCAAAGTATGAATCAGTTTGAGCTTCACAAAGGTCAGTCTCTATATGACTGATAGACTATAGGATGAGTTTTCTTGATCTGCTTGGCTTTGTAAATGGTGATGATCATGTCTTGCAAATTGCAATTAAAGAGTACATAATCTCATTGATTCATGTTGCAAAGTGACATTAATTTTGGGAAACTTCTGTCGGATAAAGGTTACTGAAGGCGCTGTGGCTAATGTTTAGCCTTGGCCTTGCTGACTTGAATGAGCAGGCTCAGGTTACTATCTCACAATTTTTTTTTTTAACATCTTTCTAAAAATATCAATTTTTTATAATTAAATTAATTTTAATTAATATTTTCTATAATTTAATAATTATATTGATCTAAAACATCTTTTCCAAAGCAATTATTAAATAGAAACATTACTTTTATGCAAAATACTTGAAAAGTTGAAGTCACAAATCTTCATGGTAATCTTGAGGGGCTATTCGGTTGGGAAAACTTTTTCTTCTAAACTATTTAAAGGTTATTTACATATTTTTTTCATATTAATATTACAATAAAAGAAGAGTAAAAGTGATATTTTTAAGTTTTATTTTTCATCAGTAAATTTCTCTTCCTATACTTAAAAAAAAAAAAAATTGTTTTCTCTAACTTTCCATAGATGAGATTCACTTCATAACTTTCTTACTAATTTTTATTATATAATTTCTTACCAAATACAAAAAAATTTCATAATTAATAAAATTTAATTAATATTTCGTTATAAAATTTATCAATTTTTTTATACAATATTTATTAACTTTTTATAAAATAATTTCCTAACTCTTTTTTCAATAGAAACTTAGTTAATAAAGTTGACCTTCTAAGTAGAGAGGGCGCCAAATGCAACCCGCTGACTTGTAAGAGCATTGTGGGGAATTCGCTATCTCTTCTAAGTCTGATTAGGCTTTTTTTTTTTTTTTTTTTTGAACAATTTAACATGGGACGAGATGGAACCCTTTTAAGGAGGAGAGGAGGATGCACCTATTCTATGTGATTAGTATCATTAGACCCAGACGGCCAGTGTCTGATGAGGCACTTTTCAAGCTCTGCCTGCAAGAAAAATGTATTCTAACATTACATTTACCTTAATCTAATATATCATCAAATTCAGTTTCTGTTTAAAAAAAGAACTAATATATTATCAATCAACATATTATAGAACAGCATTTCACGTGCCGTGATCCAGTGGTCACTTGCTGCCCAAAGGGCAATCTAGTTTGCACTCTCATGTCTCAGGTTGAATACCCCTCACCAACACTTCTAACATACTAATCTCTAATCATTTTCCTTATCAAAAAAAAAAAAAAACATATTATAGAACATGTCAGAACTTGGATTAGACCTAAAGAAACTTCAAAGATTTTAAAGTCCCCTGCCTTGTCATTTTCTTGAAAAAGACCAAGCTCCTTGTTGAATAATTTTTCATTATCCTTCCTATATGTAATTTATGGAAGTCGGACATTGGTTAGTTTAGCTATTAAGTAGGCAACAACTGCTCATTTTAAATTGTTGGTCCACATCAAATAAGTAATACTTGTAACCATCCTCAAACGGTTGTTTTTGGCCAACAACATAATATTACATCATACTAAAACAAACTGTTTGTAACCATCCTTAAATTAATTGGAATTTTTTTTTTCATATTTTAGTCTTGTTATTATTTATTAACTCTAATTCTTTCATAGACAAGTAAGAATTACATTTATAATATAAATTTTTTGAACAACTTATACAAAAAAATTTCAATAGGAAAAAATAGATCATTCAAATGTCCATATCTAATTCCACTTAAATCTTTCACTTTGAAAATTTTAAATAATATAATAAAATAATAAAAAACATGAGAATGTCAACCTTTATGTAATTTCTAAAAATATCAATCTTGGTAACTAATTAAGGAGACAATTAAGAAGATTGGTTTCTTGTCATATTGCAT